AACCCCAGCAAGAGAAGTGCTTCGCAGAATCTACCACCGGATTGGAAACGCGACCCACTGAGAAAGTCCAACTATTATTTATTAAAAGTATCGGGATATATTGGTCATTAGTTATCATAAATTTAATCCAAATAAATAGTATTAAAACCGGTGTGAGGTGGGTAACAAATAGATTGCTATTAACCAAACGAAAGTACCGTTGAAGATTTATATTGTACGACGAGAGTTGTTGATAGACATTATTGCATATCTGGTACTATTATTTTAATAAAATGATCATAGCTGGTATCAAGGAGAAACAAAGTCATATCTGTTATTTTAAACTAGCTGACTCGGCAGACTTCGTAGTGCCTCAATCGATAAACAAAAGACCTAAAGCTCTGTATAAATTAAAATTAAAACAAACAAAAGGAATCCGTCTCACGGGGGACACATCAAAGGAAAAACAAAATTGTTATTTTTTATTTAATTCCGAGCATTTTCATATTTATCTACCTTTTAAACCTTCTCTGGACTTCCACAAATAATTCAAGACCAAAATTCGCCAAATCGGTTCAGCCGTTCTCGAGTTTTAGCGAGACTAACGAACAGCAATTAATTCATTTTTATATACATATATAGATATATTGTGTTTATTAAATTAAAATCAATTTTTTTTTATCTGAAACTAGTCTTAGAAATGTAGATAAGCATCATAGTAGGTAGTGGCATTCACAATGTTTATGGGTTTCCTAGTTAACAACAGGAGGGCGGTGAGTTTGTTTGATCGTCTATACCGGTATAATAAAAAGCCAAAAATCCTATATGATACTGTCCAATGGTTTGGTCGTGAATAGTGAAGAAGAACTGTATACCTATAATCAACATGCATAAAAAGATTGATTGCATTAGATACCTATTTTCAGCAGTGAGCTTAAAGGAGACGGAAAATCGTGGGCCAAAAATGTAATAACTTGGAATGTAGTCTAAAAAATTTGTCATATTTTTTTATATAGTAATATAAAAAATCACCTCAATCCTCTTTCTGGGACCGGAGAAAAATGAGAAAGTTAGTTTTTGTCGGTATAACTGTGTGATCGATTTAATTAATCGATTACAGGATTATAAAAAGAAAAACATACACAAGTGCGGTATGCGCCGGATTTAATTGCGATTATATACATAAATGAAGAAAAAGTCTATTATTACTTAGCAAATATGATTATCGATTTCAAATCGATTAAAATCGATTGTATTTTTGATGACAGCTTTGACAGTAAGCTGACATGACGTTTGTTCATAGATTATACAATTATTTTTTGGCGCTTGTTGATTTTTTCTGCTCTACTCGTTTTGTATCTTCGACGCATTTTGAGTGTGTATCTATCGGTCTGTTTTTATATTTTCAACGATCACTGCTTTATTATTACGGATTCCAACTCTGCCAGCCTTGTACGACAATTGCTTCTACACTGGACACCGAAGATCGCTCACACGTTTGACTTGAAATTGTTGCATTGGATACTGTTGAAATTATGGATCGCTGTGTGAATTGTGGGATAGCAATTCCATATTCCATACCTGATATATATCATTGNGGATTCCAACTCTGCCAGCCTTGTACGACAATTGCTTCTACACTGGACACCGAAGATCGCTCACACGTTTGACTTGAAATTGTTGCATTGGATACTGTTGAAATTATGGATCGCTGTGTGAATTGTGGGATAGCAATTCCATATTCCATACCTGATATATATCATTGATATTCATTCATAATATGACATTTAAAAGATTAAATCTTTATTAACTCGGCTCTCAGATTGAGAAAACTTTTATAATTTTCAGCAAGGTACTGATAAATATGAATCTATTAATTCATATTAGTTTCATCACGTTACATTCGGGCCCAAAAATGTATGTAATCGTTTCAGTCTCCTTTAAAGCACAAGATTATTTCAATTTGCATTCAAAGGTTGACTCATTTAATGACCACAACCTAATTGGTTATCATTATATATAATATATATATAAAATATAGACAGGGATAAAACAAAAACATTCCGACTGAAAAAGTTACCAATGCTAATCAAAATAACAAATCCCCACCCTGTGGTATATTAGTCAGAGTCATTAGCCACTTAACCGAAGAGGTGGCATATTTCGTTGGCCTTTTGTAGTCTGGTTAAATTGTGGCTCTAAGCGTTTTAGTTTGGTCGCAATATCTTATCAAGTTATAAAGTTTTAGCCTTAGTCTGTACTTTTCCATTTGATAAGTTTATGTATTAATATTAAATGCCATTTATTAGTATCCATGAGCTATTTCAATAGTCTCGATAAGTTTTATAGTAGTGAAATCTGTTCTGCGATTATGAAACTAATCAATATATATAAAAATGAATTGCTGTTCGTTAGTCTCGCTAAAACTCGAGAACGGCTGGACCGATTTGGCTAATTTTGCCCTTGAATTATTTATTTATGGAAGTTCAGAGAAGGTTTAAAAGATAGATAAATATGAAAATGCTCGGAATTAAATAAAAATAACAATTTTGTTTTCCCTTTGATGTGTCCCCCGTCGGACGGATTCCTTTTGTTTGTTTTAAGTTTATTTTATACAAAAGCTTAGGTCTTTTATTTATCCATTGATGCACTACGAAGTCTGCCGGGTCAGCTAGTAATCAATAATAATATAATATTTGGATAGTTTTCTCGGTGCACTGTTATATTGCGAAATTTCTTATGGCTATTCAGTTTGGTTAAACGTTATAAGCAATAAGCGTTACAGATTTTTATCAACGCTTAAAGATTGTATCTTAGTCCACTAGTCGGATACAGTTATTAGGATATACACAGGATTAGATTACTCGGGTTTTCACCTTTTATTTTTCATTGGAACGAATCTAATATTGTTATTTTATATTTACTAGAGGTCCCGTAGTAGTCGAAATTCGACTATAATTAATTGGAATTGTAAGTTTGTACACCATTATGATTTTATTTTATACTTCTATAATCACAAATTTCGCCAGTACTACACTATAAAAAATATTAACAAAGACAAATAATATTTAATCTATTCTCAATTTGACAACAGACGTCAAGAAGAAAAGCTTGAAAATAAATAGTATGCATGCGTGTGTGCGTCAAATACATGGTACGTAGTGTGTGTAATGTTTTCTATATCGATTTAATGTATCTTTTATGCATTATTTTTAAAAAATATTAGCGTTGTGCACTTCTTCTCTATATTCTCTATAAGTGTGGAAAATTTCATACTCCTCCGTCCGCGCAATTTTCGTAAAAAGGGATACAAAGCTTTTGCTTCACGTATTAATATATAGATACAGTGATAAAAACCAAAGAATACGAGTATGTATACGCGTTTAGTAACTGTGAAAAGTGTGTCAGTATAGACTTTATCTTAAACTCTTTCACGGATAATTCAGGTCACGCTAATCTATACATATATTTTATCCGTATCTTTCTAATTTTAATATCTTTTCGTTATCGACATAAGTGAATAAATACTAAAAATTAAAACATGAACTTTTTTACTGATTGTTGTGAATATATCATAGATAGGGTTACATGCTTACCCGCTGAGTTTGTTTCGCCGGTTCTTCTCAGGACTGTGGTTTTTTTTGGAACCGGTGGTAGAGTTAACATTGTTATTTATATTTTGACATTCAACAAGTGTGTTGTACTGACATCTAAGTTGAAATAAATGATTTTGACTTTGAATTTGAATTTAGTTTCATTTTAAAAATGAAGCCTAAACACAATCCTAATGCGATTGTATGGTTATTTATGCATTCTAAACAATATTAATACCAACATGGAGCTAATGCGTTCTGAAATAAAGTAGAACATTAACTAAATTCAATTTGTATAGGAACAAATCAGATTAGCAAAACTCGTCGAAATATAGACAAAGAATTTTTAAAAGCCTAAAAGCCTGAACAACAAAATTCATTTCTTTTTTATGACTAATGAGTCGAATTGGGAATGAAATTTTAAGCAATGTTAATACAGAACCCCAGAATTGACCTGATTTTAATAATGAAATTTAGATGAATTTACTTTTCTGCCGTTCATTAGTTACACAAATTAATATTGGATAAAACTATTATGGCTTTAACAAGAAAACTGTATTTTTACGATCACAGGCATTGTCAATTGATTTTGTTAATGGAACAGCTTGAAAATCGGAAAAGGGAAAGCGCTTGGCACCGTTCCTAAATTCAAAGTAAACCTTGTCTATATTAGATAATAGTGTATCTATTCAATTTCTAACAAGAATATATTGTTTTATGGAATTTGGGTTGATTGTTACATTATTTACTTCGGTTTTCGCAAGACATTGACATAACTAAAACTACTTTTGCGGTTTTATATCGCTTTTAATAATTCAATTTTACTATATCCGTAGTTTCGTGGTTGCAGACAATTGAAGTGTTGTCCTTCGACAGCTAAGAGGGTTATATGGCTAAATAGACCTCTGAAGTATTTTCTAAAAGCATCAGTAAAATTATCAGATTTGTTAATGAGCTGGCAGTACTAGAAAGGAACGAAAAATGATCGATTTTTGTATCCCACGAACGAGTAAACGAGATTACAGCCCACCTGTTGTTAATTGTTCATCTTCTTCTATATCGTTCCCTCACTACTGAGGATCGCGACCACATGTGACGTTCTTCCTCTGTGTTCGATCATTGGTGGCATGGACCGCATGGTACAGACTCCCACCAAGTGCTTCTTTTACTAGATCTGACCATCTAGTTGGTGTTCTGCCCACGGCGCGCTTGCCCTCTATGCGATCCACAATTATGATGAGCTTCTCTAATTCATGTCTGGGAGACCGCATGATGTTTCCGAAGAAGCTCATAACAGGTTCCCGGCAGATGGAAGAGAGCCTTTTTCGGATGTTTAGCTCCCTTAGAAGTTAACTAACTCAACTAACTACTGTTTACAACAAATATCGGGTCAATTATATCCGCTCACCTTATTAAATGAAGTTGAAGTCTCATTTACATCGCATATTTATTATCTGCTGTCGAGTCCTAAAAACGCTTTAAACGATCCATATTTTTTTCTTAAATAACTAAACAGGAGGCTTTATTATAAAAATAATAACAAGATTATATCGATAGCTTAGTCATAGTATGAAAAATTATATATTTATTTCGTATAAATTTGTAATAATATTCTAAATATATAAAAATTAAAAAATAAAAATTACACCCTATGAAGGGTTTCTCAATTAAGAAAAACAAGGTTCACACTTTCACAAAGTTTTTTCTATCGCTGCATGTGTTTGTGTGTGCACTGTGTGCGAGAGAGATGGCGAGATTCATTCTCAGTGTATACTCATCTCTACTTTCTTCTAAGTAATCGATTTAATTTATATTCATAATTGCAATTTAGTTATTTCGAGTCGTGTGATAAAACAGAAAATTCATTAAAAACAACAAAAATGTGTTAAAACATTAAAATGATCCTTAAAAAAAGTTAAGAATTTAATTAAATAAATAGTTAACAAATTTACATTGTTTTTCCATTCAATGAAAACAAAATTTAATTTATTTTGGCCACAGTCTTAATCTGTTTAATAAATACCAGTAAAGTTTTAATTTTAACTTATAAAATTTCGACGTCTGAGAATTTTTTGCTTAAATATGATGGGCGGTTTTAAAATTAGTTCTAAGCTGTGAAATAACTCATGAACACGCTAGATACTGCACACGCATATCTTGGAAAATAAATCGTATTCTATAAAACAAATTACCTTCGCCTTTATATATAAATGAAAAAAATAGGAAACCATCCTATCTCAGATTACCTTAATGTGTACTTCCCTATAAAAGAGCTGTGAATATATCATAATAAGTAGTAGATAGGTAGAACTACGACATAATATTTGTGGCTCACTTATCTTTCTCTTATGAACAGAGTTAGAAAGGGATGAGTGATCCCTCAAGTTTCACATAGTTTTTTTTGTTCTTCAAGTAGAGGTTAAGTGGAAATTGCATAATCTGGCTAAAAAAATACGACTGTGATACAAAAAAAAAGTATCCATTTTTTCCGCTCTGTAACGTTAAAAACACAAATTGCTTTAAGGCCATTAATTAATATAAGCCACGTATGATAGCTCACTTTTAATGAATTTTAAATATTCTCAGAAATACAGACTTAGCACCAACCGTTGATGATCTTACATCTGTTGTCTCTTTTTTCCCTTTTTATAAAATTTTAAACGCTCAGCTGGTCGCACGGTTACCGGACAAGCTGGCGCGAGATTCCAAAAACCCCAAAATAGAACAAGTTGTATTGATATTGCCATTAATATTGGCAGTCGTTAATGAAATTATCGAAAACGGGATAACGTTATAAGAAGAAGAAGATATATTAAAGAAGAAACTAAGCCACGATGACGTTATAGAACCTGTTTTTACCATTGATGCAACGCAGCGAAGTGATCTATGAAATATGTTACAAACTTTTAAGGACTTCGAATATTGAAGTTATCTCAGATATTGTTTTGTTTTATACTCATTTGTAACTTTTGTCGAATTAATTAACGCTGAAATCGTATCAGTCAAAATCCAATTGAAACAATTAAAATAATTACGCATTCATCTTAAATGATTTGTCATCGTTCTATAGACGAACATTGTTTTCTGGAATATTCGATTGTTCAGATTTGTTTTCAATATCTATCGCTTCCTTTTTCTCTTCAGCTTCGAGAGCTCTCTTTCTTGGACTCTTCTTTCCTCTTCTGTGTTGTATATAGAAGAATCTGGACACAAGAAAGAGGAATCTAAATTTTCGGACCAAATAAAATGACTAATTTTATCTATTAATATTTTTACATTTGCGATGACGTTCTGTATGATCAAACTATGTAAAATTCAAATAATGTATAGTAATCAAAGACTTTACAGTATTATTGTTTTGATTGCACTAAATATAATTCCTGAATATTAACTTCGCTCTCATAGATTTCCCTACAGAACAATTCGAAGAGTCTCGTACCTAGCTAGTACCAGTACACCTTAACAGATATTTCCATGATGTTGATTGACGTCGCAAAATAGAGGACACGGCACGCATATACGTAAAGTAATTCATGCTATCAACTGAACCAATTTTTCATGTTCCTTTTGGAATATTATTTTTGGAAACAAGTTTAGGGTCGTCAGTAAATATTTAATATAAGTTAATTCAGAAGAAGATTATTAAATAAATAAAAAAAAATGACTTCAAGAGTCACGTTAATTAAACTCAGTCAGTTAGTAGGTAGATTAGATAGTATTAATGTTGAGCTTTTGACGGACGGACGGAGATGAAAAACATATGAAGGAATAGAGTCGCAGCGGAGCGACAAAATATAAATAAACTGAATTGGTCACACTACGTGAAAAAACTAATAAGAAAGATATAAATCTGAATGTAGAACCTGCTATTGCTTTTTTGAAGTCGGTTAACCTTTGGTACAAATTTGTTTCAAAAGTTTTTCGAATGTATGTGGGCAGTAAATGCTTTACAAATTGTATCGTACTGTTATATATCCCTACCGAACCCTAAACTGCTGATACCCTCGAGGTAGAGACTTGATAGGAGACCGGAGAACGGTCAGTAGTCAGTGAACTGTGTTAGAGTACGGGTGCGGCTGCCGGGATTACTTTGAGAGTCATTATCCATATTGTTCAAAATCCAATAAATAGTTGTATCCTAAGAGTTTTCCTTTTTTAAAACGACCTCAGAGAGAATTCCCATAACAGTACATACGATTGATAATTTACATAATATATTTTATGTTTATAAAGTTTCTACGCAAGCAAGAGGCATCTACGAAATTTATCCATTCAATATAACTAATTTACGCCTTATTATTCAGTGCGGTGGATCAAAAATCGTTAATTATGTTTTTGTAAATGAGATTAGGGTCGACGTGTTTTGAATTCTCTTTGATATACTTGTTATGATTCAATTTAGCTCCATTCATGATTTATAATACGGTTCTGGAATCTTTCAGATTTCATCTTCATAGAGAGAGAAAGGTTCACGTGTATCAAATCGTTATCAAATAGAAGACGCTTTAATTCAATTTAAAAGTTAATTTTATGAATTTGATTCGTTAATAAATAGAACAGCTGTTAATTAAACTGTGTTCTCTATACTCTATCTACAAGTTACAATATATTGTAACTATAAAATAATTATAAAAAAGGAATAAATGATCTAAATAAAAAAGTGTAAAAAATCCCATTAGCTTTTCCCCTCGTCACCATCGCTTTTGGACATCGACATTAATAGAGATAGATATCAACCATTGCCCAAAATTAAAATCCTTTTGAAATAACGACATTTCAATCCATTGCTGACAGGCCTAAAACGGAATTTCACTATATATTTGGTAACAGCCTAAAATAGCATTGTGAAAACCCGTGGTACGGGGATTGTCTATTGGTAAAAATCATACTTACGTAAGGATCATTGCGGGAGGTATAGTAATGATAGCACTGGTCAAGAAGACAGCTCCGGAGAAGACATTTAATGTTACCATGTACAGCCACGAGTAGAACGGTAGGAAGATCAGCGATGCCATAGTCTCGGTCAGAGAAAATATTGAATTCACTTTTGCTGGAATGCAACAAACAACTTTAATTTATAACATATTTAAGACACGACTATTTGAGCTATCAGAAATTCTGCATAAAATATTGGTACCGTACCATATTTTTTTCCTACCTATGCTGATAGCCTTGAGAGGCTATTTCAGCTTCACCCTAACATGTGTAGCTGCGCTCACGGGGCTCAAATCGGAGTGTTGCTAACACTGACCCTAGCAAGAGCAGTGCTTCGCAGAATCTACCACCGGATCGGAAACGCAGCCCACTGAGAAGATCCGGCGAGAAACTCAGTGGGCTGTGGTGTCTATGGGTTAATTCGCTCGTCGAGCCCTTCGTCGCAAGCGAGGGGTTCAACGAGGACGTTGACCGGTGCTTGTGGTGCTTAAAACCACCGTTAATGAATCGGAAGGATCCGTAATGACGTGCTCCATATCATTAAAGAACGAATATGCGTAACGAAAGTACGCAATGGAACGTTAACTTGTGGCATATGATCAATTTGGGCTTTTTATCGAAATGAAGAAACTTCCCATTTGAATAGAAAACTTTAAAATTCCAAATTTAAAAAAGTGGAATTTTATTTTATGAGCTTTTTAGAATCAATTCCATCAACGTACATTTGGATGGCGTTTGATTCGCAAAATAAATTAGATTCATACATCAAGCGATACTCATAGCGAAGGCTTTTGACCAGTAAATAAATTTACAACAATCTGGGCTCACCTATTTCTTGTTTTTCCACTATTTTTGATGCAATGGACCTAAGAGATGTAAATGTCGTTGCGTTCAATATTTCAGCTACCGGAACTGAAAAGTGTTATCGGATTGTTAGTTGTTCGAAACTTACGATGCACTTACTGGAGTTTGAGCCAGGGGGACTGTTGAATGAATAAATATATTCAGATACTGTATCTCTACCACAAAGTTTCCAAAGTAGAGCTTTGAATACCATAGTTGTATCAGTGTTACCTATGTTAACAATGTTACCTTACTGGATGTAGGACCTCTTGTGAGTCCGCACGGGTAGGTACCACCGCCCCGCCTATTTCTGCCGTGAAGCAGTAATGCGTTTCGGTTTGAAGGATGGGGCCGCCGTTGTGGCTATACTGAGACCTTAGAACAATATCTCAAGGTGTGTGGCGCATTAAGTTGTAGATGTCTATGGGCTCCAGTAACCACTTAACACCAGGTGGGCTGTGAGCTCGTCCACACATCTAAGCAATAAAAAAAAATGTTATATTTAAAACTTAGCAGTATCAAACTTCAACGTTTTCGAAGTCAACTGATTTTTAGAAATTCTATGATTTAGCATAATTCGTTATTATCTTCAAAAATATTTTTTTACATCCTAATGAAGTTATCAAATGGATTTTTGTTTTAAAAAATGAAAACGACAGTAAAAGTATCATTATTATAGAAAAACTTACTTAAATACATTTCAATATCGCTTTGAATGAAAGCAGTCCAGATGGATCCAACGAACTTGCTGATGACAGAGATTAGACAGAGCAACGAATCATCGATCTGTAGTCGCTTACTTAGCACCGTTATGGAGAACATAGCACCTGAAAATAAATAAATTTTACTTGTGATTACATATTTTTTAGCTTCTCTTGTAGGAATTTTTTAAAGACAAGCTCATTTACCCAGCCTATTTCAGCCGTAAAGCAATGCGTTTCGGTTTGAAGGGTGGGGTAGCCGTTGTGACTATGCTGGCACCTTAGAACTCATACCTCAATCTGGGTGACGGCTTTTATGTTGTAGACGTCTATGGGCTCCAGTAACCATTTAACACCAGATGGGCTGTGAGCTCGTCCACCTACCTATGCAATAAAAAAAGAGTAGCTCAGAAACATTAAATATAAAACACATTCTGATGCCTTACCGAAAGAATGTAAGATAATGGAATAGCTGACATAGAGACTGAATTTGACCATGTCCCAATTCAAGCGGTTCCTTACGAATAGATAGAAGACTCCATGCTCCGCTGTAAAAAACAACAACATGACTTAATTACCATAGTTTATACGCTAGATAACAAGACAAGTGGAATCAATGCTGGCACTTCTGAGCAATCGCGACAAAATTTTATATCTCTTAAAGAAGGCTGAACACATTTTAATATCTACGCACACTCCACCTGCGACCTTTTGAATCAATGATATCAGGTGAATAGTACGTAATTTTCATAAAGTTTTCCGCATACATATTTTATTTAACTATCTTTTTTTTTTAATGAAGGACAAAAAAATATTTATTTTTATATAATTTAAAATATATATAAATGGTGAAAAGGTCGTTTTTCCTATACACAGAATTCCCTAATATATCCCAAATTAGATTAAGGGTGAAAAATGAAGAAAACCACAATAGTACAACAACGCAAATTTCACTTCTTTCACGAGCACCAAGTTGCACGCGCATCATTTCTTTAACTTAACAAAGATACTTAACAAAGGATACGTACATGAAGTTGGTCCGAATAAAATGAAAACACAGAACAATGTGAGGAGAACTTTCATCCTTAAATTTGATTCCCGTTTCTTGAATGCCACCATAGCTGTGTCTGTTACGTGCGATATGTCCAGGACAGCAACTTTCTTGCTGTCTCGCTCTATCTGTAAAACATTAAGCATCAATTTTCGCAGCTAACCAATAAGGTAAATTAATAGTTATTTTAAAGTTAAATGCCTCTACTGGTATAACATTTAGCTCTAGGTTTAGTTGCTAACCATACAATGATTTGTATGTAATTCCTGCAATTAATCACATCCAGAACCATGCGCGATGTTTATTGTTTTGTCACCAATTATGAGATATATGAACTCTGTTTAAACGAGTAATATAATTTTATTGTAGTCTATAGAATATACGTTGACATTGGCGAGTATTAAGGACTCTGCTAACTTATCTCTAGATTACGAAAATTATAAAACTAAAAACTGTTCATTCAATTCATATTTGTGTCTTTTCAATACATATAATAAAATCGTAACTGGTCCCTGTTTGTACATGGAATATATCTCAGGAAAACTGTAATAGGGGGGCTTTATGAACGCAATAGAACCCAAAAAAATGATTTTTAGAATTTTTGTCTGTTTATCTGTTTGTCTGTGCGTTTGTGCACGCTAATCTCAGAAACAGCTCTGCCGATTTAAATGTGGTTTTCATTAATTTATTGTGGTAAGCTTTACTTAACATTTAGTGTTTGTTTCATGTCAATCGGTTCATAAATAAAAAAGTTATGCCAATTTAAAGAATCACGTAGCTGGGCGTTTGTAGATTGTTTAAGTCTGTGCAGCCGTCATATAATAGCCGCTCGAATTAGGGTGAACAGTTAACAGCGTGACGCAAGTTTGTCCATCGATCGTGAATCTTATACACTATCGCGTGAGTCTGAGACTTTCACTGAAAGGGAATCCCGCGTGAGCTCCTCAGAGGGTTTGGATAGCAAATGCCCGGGTTCAGGAGACACTTGAAGAACGAGAAACACGTCTCACTGCCGATCGCAAGGCTCATGCACTATCGCTTCAGTCTGAGACCTTTACTGATAGGGAAATCCATCTGAGCTCTCAGAGGGTTCGGACAGCCAAAGGATGCCCGGTCTCGGGAGACACTAGAAGAACGGGAAGCACAACTCACTACCGATCGCGTTTCCAGTGAGCCTATGTTTCGTGATGATGATAAATAAAGCCCAAAGTCAGACGCTAAAAGTTTTGGGTGTAGATATAAGTGTTAACTGCTTTTCACACAGTCAACTCGGTCACACGGCTATGTAGCTCTGTCACATGTTAGCAATCCTAGCGACCTATATAGTGTGTATAGAGAAGCATTACTTTAAATTAGATTTTTCTAAATACCCAAATGACGGTATTTATAAACCAAAAGGTATGTCCTAAAACTGCTGCCCAAAGTCGTTATTCCACGCGGACGGAGTCGCGGGCACAGCTAGTTTCAAATAAATTTGGAAATAACCAATGCTGATTTCATTATTTGATCGTGTATTAACAACGTGATTATGTTTGGCTTAAGATAAGCTTCAACTCATTTTGTAGCCACCTGTATTTTAAAATATTTAGTGGTAGCAGATATAAGTTTTTTTTTACATCCGGAATCACCTGATGTCAGCGTCGGAACGGTACTTCAATAAGGCTATATGTCATGATAATCGCCTTATCGTTGCCGCCGCTGACTCCTCGAGTCTTGCCCACGCAACAATCAGTCACCGTCGACGCCCTAGACACGTCCTTACGGATCCATTAAATCCAATAGCTTTTGCATTAGATGCCTTCAGCTGAAGGAGCAAACTCAGTGACTCTGGTAACTTACTCATCGAACTCGACCAGTATGGTTACGGCAAAGAGTTCGACGTGCAACCCCACACATCAGTCCGCTGAGTTTCTTGCCGGATTTTCTCAGTGGGCCGCGATTTCGATCCGGTGGTAGATTATTCGCGAAGAAGTTACTTAAGTTGTTAGGTCTCCTTCGATGGTGATACTGGAAAGGCCAATAGGCCATAAAAATTCTTCATTTAAAAAAAAAAATGCATAGTCACAAGCTTGTGTAATGTGGTATTTTTGCTTTTTGCAAAAAAAAGCAGATGTCAGTATCAGGATAGGGAAAAATAATATATTTTTTTTTTTTAATAATCCAGCTATTTTGTTCATTCAGTGTACATTACTTATCATAATTAGAAGATAGCTGATATTTACTTTATCACTGTTCACAAATATTTGAAGTTTATTTATTAAAATTGAATTTTTTCATCTGAAAAATATCTTTAAACGATAGATAATTGATGTAAACACTCTAACGAGTTTACGGTCACTTCGTTTGGCCTTCAAAACTTTACTACGCTAATATTATTTTAAACTACGTTATGGTCTGTTGATTTTATAATGTTTTGAATCACTACAACAACACATTAAGATGCCACCGCTGTCATGGACTTTGGATATATGTAGCGTGCATATTATCTATAATAATACACATACACCAAAATATTGTAAACTATGCTCCACAATCTCAGCAAGATTTTTACGATGTACTTACTTATTTTAACAAGTTATTTGATGTTATTTTCGTTCGATTTACTAGCTCACAGATAACCTGGTGTTAAGTAGTTACTGGAGCCCATAGACATCCACAACGTAAATGCGCCACCCACCTTGAGATATAACTTCTAAGGTCTCAAGTATAGTTACAACGGCTGCCCCACCTTTCAAACCGAAACGCATTACTTAAGGCAGAAATAGGCAGGGCGGTGGTCCCCACCCGCGCGGACTTACAACAGGTCCTACCAACAGTAACCAGTACCACCAGAAAATCTCAGAAGAGAAACAGTAGGTTGTGTCTCAGGGTTAAAATGCTCGTCGAACTCTTTGCATAAGACAAGAGAGAGAGAGAGAGAGAGAGAGAGTATTCTTTATTGTACACCAAAAACAAATAAACAGTGCGATACATTAAAAACAAAAAAAGTACAATTGGCGGTCTTATCGCTAAGTTCAGACGTACACACATACTGTCTGCTCCGTTACCCACTACGGCGACGGATCAGTGCGGAGAGGGAAGAGCTATCCCTCTCTCGTTCCGCCGCGTCCTTTTGCGAGATAGTGAGCTCGCAGAAGTCGGGCATCGCCCTCCAGTGTGCTTAGTGTAAGTTTTTTGACGTTCTCGATAGCGTAAAAGTTACCTGAAATTAGTATGCAGATGGAACAGTGCCCTTAGCGGCAGACATAGGCAAACGTTCCAACTCCATATAAATTTGACTTAACTTTTACGCTATCGAGAAAGTTAAAAAACTCGCACTAAGCACACAGGTCGCGTCGCTGCCGATCATCGTAGCTACGACGGTCGGCAGCGACAGGACCTCTGCTATGGTAGGTCTAGGTAGGTAGCTCTGCAGTGTCCTCCTCATCGCGTCTCTACTTTGTACTTGCGGTTTGTCTAATTTGTCACGTTTTTTCTTTATTGTATGTTAAAACCATTTTTAAGCTAAGAAATATAACGGCTTATAACTTTATTAAATTATGATGCTATTTTATATACATATTATATTAAGTTTTTGAGGGACTTGCGACATTTCGTAATTAAGTATCAATAACAATGGCGAAGAATGTATGCCAACGAATGATAATAATCCTGTTGTTTAATCAAAATTATCTGGGTATTACAAACACTCTGCTGAATAACTACTTAACTATATTACGATAGTCGCTATCAGCAAACAAGTGTTGCAAAAGAAGTCGATATACGCGTGTAAGTTGTTCAAAGTTTTTACTGGCAAGGTAAAAAAAATCCAGCCAGAAATTCACCATGTAGTCAGCAGCAAACTTTAGCCTGTTGGCATCCAAATCTTGAGATAAGAAGAAAATGCTGTCAATGCTTAAGCATGACAGCATTTTTTTCTTTTATATTATAATTAATTTTCAATACAAAAAAGGAATGACCTTTGATCACAAATAATATTAATAAAAATATTATTATAGTTAAACAATCTATAGGATGTACTGTTAAGATCCACTAAATGGAGTATGACATATGAGCTATATAAGAAATATATGGCTTATTGCAAAATTAATATGTAAATTTTTTTGCTTGTTATTAATACTTATTTTAAATAAGACGTAAACTTAAACTTACCGGAGGCAATCCTTTTTCTTGTAGCAGAATATCAGGTTCCTTCAAAACTACGGTCCCATAAATCAGGACAACAGTAAACATGATGCTAGTTGTCGAAAATATGCCATAGTAACCCATTCTTTGTAGTAAAATTCCACTTAGCCCAAGACCTATTGGCAGACCACATGTAAAGCAAAAGTTCACAACTCCAACTCTAAAAGTGCGGGTTTCTTCTGAAGTTATGTCACTGATATAGCTGAATACACCAAGAAACATCGTCACCCAGCCACCAGTTATGGCTGGGAATAAGGTCTCTAAGAACACTGTGACTTCTACTGGGATTTCATAGAAAAAATAAACATTGATTATATTATTGATGGAAGTTAAAATTTCACCGTAAATCGGTAATAGTATGCACAATTTTCGCTTTCCAGTCCGATCGCTCCAAGCTCCCATAAATATAATAATGATGCACGGTAACGCGGTTTGTAAGACGCTCTTCCAGATGTCGATGCTAGATATCAATCTTTGCACTTCTTTTTCATATTCCGAGTAATTGGTGCTTGTTTTTTTTATTAATGCATCACATACTGTATCGTTGAACTGTAGGCTGACTCTACAGGCTTTGTCCAAATTAAAATTGCCCATAGCAAATCTTGATATCACACTCGGTATAATGAGTCCGGCTAACAGAGGCTCCACGGTTATATTGTCTTTTATAAAACTCAATTTCTCTCCAAATGTTTTAATTTGATTTTGAGCTTCATCTTTGTTCAAAGGACGCTCCTCGATAACATGTTTCTGTTTGTTTTCATCCATTTTTCCGTTTTCACTGGATAATATAACTTCAAGCTAAGTCCATTGTTTGTAAATAGCCACGACCGGTCCTCACTGTTGTATTGTTTGGTTTGACATCATGTCTGCGCCTGCAAACGATACAGTGATTGAATTTATTGTGTTCCTAGCCGACGTATTTGTTTGATATCAATTATGGCTTGATAACGACAGTCGCGTACAATAGCAATTGATAAAAGGGCTTTTGTACTGCCTCTAGTGAGATTAACGTGGCTTAAACTGGGGAATGACAATTGCAGTCAACTTAGCGCACCTTCACGCTTCCATTGTCTGCCCATCGGCGGTTGGACATGAACTAAAACCGGCCAAATTAGTCTGCCAGTTTAAATAGTGTAGCCTCATATTATGTCGTGGACCGTGTCTTGTTTGCTTGCGTGTTCGTGGTTTTAGTTACTTACACGGTGGCTCGATCTGGGTAATTCCTATTGATATATATATGATGATGTAAGCTAATATTTGAATATTTGGTAAAGAAGTTATTGTTTAGGCGAAAAAAAAAAAAACAAACAATGGACTTCCATATATTTTGATAACAGTCCGCTAATTGCAAATCAAATTATACTAACAACAATCGGTGACATGTAAAACATATTTTACTTTAGGATCAGGATATTAATGATATTCAAATATTAAATGAGCCTCAATTTTAATGTTATCAATTAACTTTGTTTTTTTAAATTAATTAATTTATTACATTTAATTGTACACAAAGAATTATCTGGACTGACTTGTATTTTTTTGTTGTTTTTATTACTTAGACTGGTGAACGTAGCCCTGATGGACGTTGCCACTGTGTTGGTGTTCAAATCTCGCAGTCCCGCAATCCCGCAGAAATAATTTTTGTAAATTGAATTAGATACTTAACACATAGTCACGACTGACTCCCATCATGAAGGAATAACAATCTATATGTAAAAAAATGAATTGCTGTTCGTTAGTCTCGCTAAAACTCGAGAGCTGCTGGATCGAATTGGCAAATTTTGGTCTTGAATTATTTGTGGAAGTCCAGAGAAGGTTTAAAAGGTAAAGATAAATATGAAAATGCTCGGAATTAAATAAAAATAAAAAATTTGTTTTCCCTTTGATGTATCCCCCGTCGGGTGGTTTCCTTTTGTTTGTTTTAAGTTTATTTTATACATAGCTTTAAGTCTTTTATTTGTCAATTGAGGCACTACGAAGTCTGTCGGGTCAGCTAGTATGTACTAAAAATGAAACCCGGAACAAATATATTTGCGTAATTAATTTTTTACTGGTGGTAGGGCGTCTTGTGAGTCCGCACGGGTCCCAACCTTAAATCCGAAGCGCATTGCTACTTTACGATAGAAATAGTCGGGGTGGTGGTACTTACCCGCGCTGGCTCACAAGTTGCCTTACCACCAGTAAATTGATTTTATTGATGATGTTTTCGTTAATGAATTAATTTCTACGGGTCAGAATTTTTTTTTTGTGACTTTTTTTGTCTTGGAATACTAATATCTACTAACAGCCTTTAGGCTTGATCACGATCGCAATTCTCCAAATGAGTCTACTAGTTCTCTTGTACAATGAGTAACGGAAATTTCGAATAGACGTTTGAGATGACGTGGGTTCCATACCCGTATCCTTTGATATCAGCTAGACTATTACATATTAGATTCCATAAGTTCTGATCGTCCGGTTTGATAAAATATAGATATATTTTGTATTATTATTTTGGGTATTAGGCTTAAACAGGAATCCTATTTAGATTACAAACACCAGATTCAATTAATAGCCACATAATACTATGTGTGCATTCATCGTATAGATTGACTGATTAACTTGAAACAACTGGTTTCCTCGACTCGACAATTTGCGTGGACATCAATAAACTGTAATTAGACGCACGGAAACGTCACGGTACGTTGAACGATAAAAATGTCGCGAAAAATATATACACTTTGGCTGGAAAATTGCAATAAATTTTCGATCATTTCCAGTGTGGCGCTCATTGTGTTGAATCCGTCACGTGCGTTTTAAAAAACTTAGCCTCTAATTGATAAAGCGCTTAAACTATTGATGCAATGCCAGTAAACAATAAGTTTACTGGTGGTAAGACCTCTTGTGAGTCCGCGCGGGTGGGTACCACCGCCCTGCCTATTTCTGCCGTGAAGCACTAATGCGTTTCGGTTTGAAGGGTGGGGCAGCCGTTGTAACTATACTGAGACCTTAGAACATATATTTCAAGGTGGGTGGCGCACTTACGTTGTGGATGTCTATGGGCTCCAGTAACCACTTAACACCAGGTGGGCTGTGAGCTCGTACACCCATCTAAGCAATAAAAAAAAAAGTTAACTGAGGAATTTTTCGAGATAATCCCTTTTTAGTATATCGCCATATCGACCTTGTAGACATTTAGAATTACTGCATTCAACCACCATATGTTTCCAAAGATCTGTTTTGCCACGTACTATCTGGCTCCAGAATTAATTTCAGGGGTTTTCCTGTCGTTAATGAGCGGAGGTGACTACCATAAGGTAGGCTCGTATGCCAAAAGAGGCGATAAAAAAATCTGTAAGTGGTCCGAAATGGAAAAGAATCGGTGGTCTTTTAAATACACATACCTAGGCTGGTGAATCTGCAGATTTTTGTGTAAAATTTTATCTATATCTGTGGCCAAGTACGCCTTTGTCAGTTTAAAATCCTAGCTAGTGACGCATGGATTAATTGCAGTAGATATCAGCAGGGCGGGTATACCAACTGACTAAAATCGTCGCTGACCAATTTTAAATCAAAGTAGAAGGTAAATACAGTAAAAAATTCTTTGCACTTACTTTCTGACCATCAGACGTAGATGTATGTATACACAATAATTTTAAAACGTATCTGATGAACAGTCCTTTATGGTCTAAGTACGTACTGATGCTCGCTACATTGATCAATAAACTCGACTATTCTTGACAATACAAAGATACCAATTACCTACTTTAGCCTTAGATTGTCAGATGTCACGTACGTCGATTCCTTGTTGTTTGTTGTTCAAAAAAAAAAAAAATTTTAAACAGACAAAAGTGGAATTGCGTCACCGCAATTTAGATTCCTTTGCCAAGCTAATAATGATCATAATAAAAATATAATCAATTCATTCTTATCTAAGAATCCCGCAATTTTCTATATAGTTGGTATCTAGCGAAACGGTAACAGCTGTTATATATATTTAGACCTCATATTTTATGTGTGGTTATTCTGCTCATGACATCTTGTAACTACTAAACACCAGATGGAATTTAAGATCTTAAGAACCAATCTAAATTGCGAAAGAGCAACACCGTCAAAACGCTTCTTCGAGAAACAAGCTTATATACAGAACAAACACCTAAAGGCTTCTAAGATTTCAAACAATGAAGAAGTTCGGGATTATCCGAAAGCTTTCTGGCAAACCTCCCTTTGATGTGTGGTAGATAAGTATCATCGTTTATTTGGTACAAAACAAAGAGGGAGTCTACATCTCCTCCGAATATGCGTTTGTTACGCTTGTATTGCAAGCGCACTGTGGGACGACCACCTACCCGACGGAACGACGAACTGGTGAAAATCGCTGAAAAAAAAATCGAGGAGAGAAGCAGCCGCCCCAGATGAAGAAAGAAGTAAGAAGAGAAGAGAAGAGAAGAGGGAAGAGGGAAGAAGGGAAGAAGAAGGAGAGTCTCACCCATCACAACCTCAAGCCTGCCACACATCATACTGCAGCGCATCACCCCTGCCTCATTAGGCATGGAGATTCAGCCCGGGCAGAGGGGTTTCCCCGAAGCCCGCTCCGCGCACCCGCAGGGGGACGCGATGACCCCACGGATCATGTTGGATGCAGGTGGCAATGGACCGACCGCACTGGAGATCAGTTAGAGAGGCCTATGTTCAGCAGTGGACAGTGGACAGGCTGAGATGATGATGACGATGATACTTGCATTGTTGACGTTTACATTTTTTGTACTACATGCATTACAGCTTCATTTTTGGTTACATATACCTATTAAATTTTTATTACCCTATTACGTACTATTACCCTTTTTTTACTTTACCCTTTATTTTCTGATTATCTTGAAGTCATAACCATGTATACACCTTGCGAAAGTGCAATCACTGGTAATTGTATCTCATTACTAATTTACGTGTGTTACCGTCATTAACCATTAGTAAGCCTTATATTATACCACATTTCGATAAACACACTAGACATTGTGTAGATTTCAATCAGTAATTACGATTATCTGCTTATCAAGTGTGTGAGTGTGTGTTTGTGTGGTGTAAAGTCGATTTAGCATTCTCTTTGATATTAAACATTATAACAGACATGTTTGATTTCCAAAAACGTCAACATCCATTGTAAAGGACTACTTTGTGTAGATAATATTAAGATTGTTGTCAGACAGAGGGCCGTTCGTAAAACTTATGTGAAATCCCTATCCAACGTGATTAGAAGACACGCTGCGCAGAATTTTGACCGTCGGTCTACCGAGCAATATCACCCGCTCCGTGGAAGATCTTTCCTTTCGTCGTAGACCTCCAGATTTTCATTGTAAAATATTTTAGGCTAGGTTGTATTAACTTAAGAATATCGGAACGTGAAATCGATAAACACGAACCAAAGTATTCTAAATGGTGCTTTTAGGTACCTCAAGCACCGGTAGCCGTCCTCGTCCAGCCCGTCGCTTGTGAGGACTCGGTGGGTCGCGTTTCCGATCCGGTGGTAGATTCTGCGAAGCACTGCTCTTGCTAGGCCCAGTGTTAACAACACTCCCGGTTAGAGTCCCGTGAGTTCACCTACACGTCAAGGAGAAGCTGAAATAGCCTCGCAAGGTTATCAGCATCGGTAGTGGAAAAAAAGCGGTGCAGACTCCATATACTGTAGGATAAGGGCAAGAAGAAAAAGAAGAATATGATTGTTGATAGAACAAATCGAATGTCTCATTCAGCCACGACGCTTGCTTAAAACTTGTAATGAATTATGTTTAAGAGTCCTTAAGATTTGCAGCCTATTGGCTACGTATTGTTTATTTGTATGTTTTGTTGTAATGTTTTATCAAACATTACAACTATCGTGGAAGACACTCTGCTATCAGGCTAAGCGATTAAATATTAGGTCTTTACTTGTGAAATTACTGTTTAGTACACAGAGATTTCCATTTTTATAAATGTTATTTAATGGTATCAATGAAAGTATGGACCTATACCATCGACGAATATCTGCCAGTGCATTGGGAATTCAATGCCCATTCTTGAAGAAGTCCGATTTGCGGGAGCCAGCAAACTCTTCAAAAGCATTTCGAACTGCCTGTACTGGGTATTGATTTATTTCCTGTGAACGAGTTGTCAAAATTTTGGAAAAAGTAGAAATCTGTTGGCGTAAGGACTGGTGAGTATAGTGGATAACG